AAAAGACTGACTGTATATGAAAAACTGTTTTAATTGAAAATGCAACTGAAATGGTTGAGAGATAAATTTTTTCGAAAGTTTTCCCTTTTTCTAATTGAATGTAAAATATGATTTTTAAATATATACCCTTGATATAATTTGTGCACCCATCGCAAATGAAAAATAAATCAAACACATAAATGTGCGATACCATATAAACGAATTCACGATCATTTTATTTTCAACAAAAAAAAACAGCGGGTTTTGACCAAAATCTTTGGAAAAATATTAGTGAGCTTGATTTGGAAATCTTGTTGAAACGGTCTTTAAAAGCTCGCCAATAGCACTGAATCATACTCGAGCGAATGCAACTCATTTTATAGCAACAAATCAATCGACTATCAACGAAAAAATTTAACTTGCAAAAGATGTATAAAGTTCAATAACAGATTAAAGAATTATTCCTTAGGGAATTTAAATTGGCATGACTCAAGTGCATTGATTGTTTATTATTCATTGATTTGCCGAGAAGAGGAAGAATAAGTGATATTGAGTAACATTTATAAAAAGACTGAATTTATTTTGGTGCATTCTCTCGGATGAAAATTGATTCGTCTCAGATGAGTCACTAAAGGACCAAAAAAACTTCAGCGCTTGCACTTCAAACGAAAGATAGCTTAAAACGAAGGGGAAAAAGCGAAAAACAGTAAAAAGATATTAAAATATGTTATTTATTATTACTCTTGAAAAAGTGTTCGTTCTCTCTTTTTTTTTTAATTAAATTTAAACCAACAAATAATTATTCATCTTCTGGTATATTGATTGCCAATGTCCATGCGGTGTGTAGACCTGATTTATCGATTTGAACTTTATCTGGGAATTCGATGTACATTGACTCATCTGAGCCATACCACTAAAAAGAATCAATAACATTGATTTAAATTCAAAATTTTCCACCGAAATCAACAAGTCAACATACGTTTAATTTTTTCGAATAGCCCAACATTTTGACTTTGGTGTTACTGTCGAATTTTCCACCAAGTGAATATAAATTGATTCCGGCCGAATCATATGGATATTTCAGAACAATTGCATACACAATTGTACGTTTGGTCGTTTCTAATTTGCTGGTATACCAAACATCTGGGGTTTTAGTATCGTTTTGATGAATCCATGGATGACTACCATAAATTGCATCACGGTTTATGTTCAGCCAACTGCCCATCGTACGCAAACGTTCAACGAAAATTGGTTGGATTAAACCGGTTTGTGTTGGACCAACGTTAACCAATATATTTCCGCCGGTGCTGATTGTGATTACAATTTCTTTTTTTTAAAAGAAAATTCATTCAAATTCAAAATTCATGTGTCAAAAAAGGTGAGAAAATTAAAGAACATACCCTTTATTAACTCTTCATTGGTTAAAAAATCGTCCAAACGAGCATCAGCTCGATAGCCCCAGCTTTTTTTATCAATGGTCATTGCATTTTCCCATTTATGCTTTTGCAAAATACCTTAAATTGTAACGAATTTCATGTGAAACCATATGAAAGACTCTGACTCATCACTTGATTTCTTCACTCTTGCTCGCAATAATGTATTCAAAGTAACAAAAAAAGGTTACTATGCAAATAAAAACGGAAGAGAATTGATTGGCGACCGCAAGAGGTCAAAATAGTTCAAATCAATAAATGATAATTGGTGAGTCAGAGTTCTCAATATTTGATCACGAATTTTAAAATGAAATTAAATTTTTATCTCTATAGCAGTAATGTGCAAAAGATGGGTATGCACACTGGCAACCAAAATGTTCAATTCGAAACGAAAAAAATTATGTCAAAAATGTTATTTTTGCTCTTCATTTATAAAATAACCCTTCAAAAAATTAGAGAACGCACATTACTGCATTGTGTATGTTATAAAAACAATACCTGGATTAAATCGATCGCCACACGTGTAAAAACCGCCATGTTTGCACTGCGAATCAATTCCCCATCGGTCTGAAATAATCAAATTGATATAGAATGTGAGTGATTTTTATTAGGAGTCAGGAAACTGTATAATTTATACCGTTGACAACGACCGTTTTCCTAACTGGACTCTCATTGTAGAGCCTAAAACAATAAAATTCGAATATAAGTGTGAGATTTTTTTTCTATTCAACGTCAAGCAATAATACCATGCAAGAAATCCAGTCGCTTCCCAATATTCACAAGACGCTTCACCTTCACCATCTGACCAAAAAACTTCAGGAGAATAGTTATTAACCAATTCCATCATCTCGGGCATAACCTAAATAGACACAGAATAGACCACAAAAAAACAAATCTGTTTTAATTCCGAATCGAAATTGTAGATGTCGGTGTGATATATGCTGCAATAAAACCCATTCTGTAGATATGTACTGCCATCTACCGTATTCGATGCACAAAACTTATCTAACAAAATGTGGTTTGAATATTTACTTTCTTGGTAACAAAATCATTTTCGGTGTATGATTTTTGTTTATCGCTGAGATACATCGGATTAAACCATTCAAAATATGAATGATAAAGACCAAATTTGAGTGTTGTATTTGCACGAATTGCATTGGAAAGTTCACCAATTAAATCACGATGTGGACCGACATCCATTGAATTCCAACTGAATGAGTATTTTGATGGCCACAGGGTATAGCCATCATGATGTTTACTTGTCAAAACCACATATCTGAAGTCGAGAATAGAAAATAAATTAGACAGTTAACTCGTTCAACAATCAAGAACATTTTCCAAAAGCAATTACTTTGCACCGCTTTGTTCAAATAACTTGGCCCACTCGTTGGCATTGAAGTGTTCTGCAGTGAATTGAGGCGCAAACTCTTGATAGGTGAAACCAGGCTTAAAATTCTTTTTCATGTATGAAACATATGGTTGATCTTTATTATCACGTAAATACTTCCAAAACCATTCAGTACCAAATGTGGGCACCGAATATATGCCCCAATGAAGAAATATTCCAATTTTTGCGTCATCGTACCATTTCGGCAATGGTCGACGGTCTAAACTATCCCAATTTGGTTCGTAGGTCGGCTCTTCCACCGTTATCACTTGATATTTTTCACATTTAATGCACACAAACAGCACTTGAACAATCGCAAACAACATCCAATGTCTTTCAAAAGTCATTTTTTCGTTTTTAAATTCTACAAATTGTTGCACACCGCAATATGCTACTGCAATATTTAAATGCGTTCGAAAATATAAAATAAAAAATGAAACAAATGAAAGGAATTGTACACAAACATTATACTAATCTAATCAACCAACCAGGATGGAGTAATCAATTTTAATAACACACAGGGTGTGAACTGTTGAACCATCACAAATGTGACAGTTGCACGAAAACATTTATTATTATGTTGATTGTTATTGTTGTTGTACATACATCACCCTGTCAACGTAATTTAATCAAAGTCAAAATGCGTCCAGTTGTGTGTGACGATAATGCGGTTTGTAGTACTCATTACTCTTGTTCGATAGACTGCAAAATTAAATGTGTGTTTGTTTTTTGATAAAATCAATGGACTTTCTTCTATTTATAATTTTCGAGTTTTGAACATTTGTTTATTGATATTTTGTTTAGCATACACGCGCATTAACAGCATGATAAGCCGAAAGCAATAATGAAAAAGTAAATGAGTGAAACACTTGGTCAGAGCAAACGATTGATCAGAGAGCACATCGTATTGTGCTGCATTGATTCAGGCGTTTTGTTTTTCTCTTTTAATGTGGAAAACGAAGATTTATTTCACCGCATACATGCGAATGAGGCGCGATTGAACTCTGAACATCCATAGAGGTTGAGAGATTCTTTTGAAAATGTACATTAAATGAAATCACTTCAATTTTATTGGATATATATAATATATTATATATTTAGCACATGGCAAACGCTTCTTTTTTCCAATTTGTATCATTTTTTCCCCCATTTTATGTTTCTTCTACATGTTGTCAAAAGAGGTGAAAGACGACTAAACTTAATATGTTTGAATTGATAAGACAGATGACTACAAAATATGATCAAATAATTCTTGATTAAAACAAAACTAGTTAATTGTAATGTATCCTTCATGTTGATATTATTACTATATAATTACAATATATAATAAAGATTATGTTTTTTGTGCAAAATAAATTTTAAAAAAATCTAATCAAATGCTCTCTTCATCGAAGAAAAATTATCGTGATGAATTTTTGTCTATTGTTTAAACATGCATATCATCGATATGATGTAATTCAACCGGTTGTGGTTCTCTCACGAATTCGAGTTGTTCATTAATGCGTGCAAAATATGTCGGTATATTACCGCGGCCTTTGATATAAGTTTCGCCACGATAATCACAGCGAATACCAAACGATTGTAATTCTTCTGCCGATTCTTTGGTAAGTTGGATTTTTCCCGGAATTCCAGTGCTGTCCATTCGTGATGCCATATTTACACCGTTTCCCCATACATCATACAATGGTTTGCTTGAACCAACAACGCCTGCCATCACTTTGCCATGGGCGATTCCTGTAATCAATGCGCTCGTCAATAGAAAGTAAATCTTAATCTCGCGAACAAATAACTTCGCATTTCATTTTCATTTTATTTTCATCATTCTTTTCATTCTATAATCGGGGTGTTTTTGATTTGATAACGAAAAAGAAACCTCGAAAAAAAAAACAGTAGAGAAAAAATAAACTGACAATCTTACCAATTCGCAGCTTTCCGTCACTTTGAAAATTCTCCGTATTAAACGCCTCAAGGATTCGCATTAGCTCAAGTGCAAATTCAGTTAATACGTAAACAACATTTTGTGATTGTCTGCTGCTTTGTTTTCGTTCCCGTTTCGATGGATCGTATCGTGGGTTTTTCTTCGGACTTTTAGGAATGGCTTCTGGTGGGACGAATGTTTTGTTTTTGTTTTTTTGTTCAAATGTATTTATTCCATTTTAATTTTAAAGAAAAACTCTGTCTTGAGTATCTCTTTAAAGAAAATCTGTTTTTATATTTAGCTTACTGAAATTGAAAGTATTCCAACTACGACGACCATTTGAAAGCAATGATGTGCGTTGATTTGGCGAACTACATCCACTGTTTAATGATGCGGATGAATCACTCCGTCCCGGATCCAAGCCACACGCCACCATATACGTCCAACCAGACACTTTAATTTTTTCCAATTTCAATGGGCCCGCTTTCGACAGCAATTTCTCATCAAAATCACAAATAATACGATTTAATATGCTCAAAATATTGCGTTCAATATCAACGGTAGCGTCGGATTGGATGTCATAGTTCGTTATTGTTGCAAACATGATGGCCACGTTATCATACTCTTCGTAATATAATTCGTCCTTCATTTGACGACTCATGTAAATTTCAGCTAGAATAATGACAACGTTAAGAAGATTTTTTTTTTTTTGTAAAAATAGAATGCAGAGTTTTGTTTTGTCAAAATTACCAACATGCGCAGGTAAAATGTTTTGCACCAATATTTTGATGGTGTCTTTTGTGCATTCGGATTCTTCTTGTCGTTTTTGCAATTGCTGCTTCCATCTATTTATAGAGAAATAAGAACATTGACACAAAATAATTCAAAATATTTCATAATTTTTTAAAAATTTCACTTTAGATAGGAAAAAAAATATTTAATTCTAACGTGTAATCAACCCGTGTAATGTATTCAGTTTGTCTGTCAACCATGTGCAATGAAACGGTGATAAAAATTACAATTAATATGTGTCCAACTTTTGGATCCAACGATGCACTTATCGATGGGCTTGTCTGTGAAGAAAAAAAAAATGCTGAAAAGAATTTGGGGTTTAATCGATTGAATTCCATTTACATTAAACAGAAAATCATAGGACGCAAATATAATCCATGAATAAAAGCCCACAATCAAAGCGCCAACAATAAGTTTGAGTATGAAATGTATGCGACCAAATAAAAAATTCACACAAATGGCCATAATTAGACTTTGAGTAATGCCCTGCAAATAAAGAAGGGAAATTGTTGCATTTAACTAATCGAATTTATTGAATTTTTTTTTAGATATATAAAAATAAATAGAACCCATGGATTAAAGCACTGTAAACATTTGATTGAATGTGCATGGTTTCCATCATGCCCGCGAATCGATTCATAGTCGATCTGTTGAAATGCAGTAGAATAGAAGGAGTTTAAATAAAATGTACATGTATGTATAATAGATGACAAAAATGCATGTTTCAGCTTGAAATTCAACAATAATTGCTTACCAAATGAATTAAAGCGCTAAACGTAAGCACACAAACTGACACAAAATAAATCAGCGTTCGAGCTACAGCGTTGCTCATTACACTTTTCGATGTATTAAATAGGTATCGCAAAAATGGGTTCGTTGGCAATTCTATCAAATTTGGATCGTCTTCGTTTATTGGTCGAATTAATATCCAGATTTTTTTAAACCATGTTATCGATATGAAGAAAAGTAAAACTAAAAAGCCGATTATGTTCAGCACCCAATAGCTCCAACCGTTCCTAGAATATTTTATACAAACGATCAAGAAGTGTAGAAAAAAAACAACAACAATAAAATCAGTAAATAAAATGAAACGGTAAATTATAGAGAAAATTGAGTGATGTGCAACCATGAAGGTATCTATGTGTGTGTGTGTGTGTTTGAATTTTGAAATTGCTCACGGATTATTTAGTGACTGTGCAACGATGATTCCAATAAAAACGATGAAGCACATGAATGTACTGTACTTGAGCATTAAATCTTGCTCTTGTAAAAAAGACATCTCCCATTTTTTATTACGAAATCGTAATAGAATTGTCGAGACTTTGCTACTAAGTGATGAACGTTCGTATTCGGCATCCTCGCAACTATCACGGCGACGGCTCGAAAACAAGTGATTGAAACTTTAGACGGTGAACGAGATAGAGAATGAAGAAAGAATTGGAAAGCCAGAAAAAAAAGAAAGAAAAAATTAAACCGAATCATTTTAAAGCAATTGGAAGTTACTCTAGTAGTAAAAAAAATCTTTCGAATGGAAAACTTACTGAAATTTTCCAATTGGCATTCGGTCCAACTCCAGTGCCATTTCACTATTGGTTTGTTTCATAATTTGCATATACTGTTCCATTGAATTTTGCATAAAATTCTTACCGATACAGTTTCCATTTCGATATGAACAGTCAAGTAATAGCTTTCTCTGTAAATTTGACCGAAATGGAGTATTTATGCATTGAATTTTATTTACAATATGCGTAATAGCAATATACATTACATTATTGCGTGTAGATCGATTCATCATTCGTTTCATGCCAGAAGAATATCTTCTATTCAGCTCGTCCGGACTGTAATACTGATTGATGCAAACAATTTTCCATTAAATATAAATGAGAAACATTACATCTCTCACCAACTCGAACTCAACAAAATTATATTGTATCATTACTTACGTGAAAATCACCTCCATAATACTGTGGTGATATCAAAAATGTTTCAATATTATTTTTGAGTAGAACCGGATCTTTTTTTGCCATTTCTGTGCCCGGTTCAAAAAAGTACTGATCTTCTAGCAATTCCAGTGTTTGCTGAGTAATGTGCACTTTGCTGTTGATGAAAAGTAATTGAAAAAAGGGGCTGAACCAAACTATTTTCAAAGAAACAATTTTTTTTTACCCAGGCACTCCAGTTGTTTCTAATCTATTGGCAATGCTAACATCTTTGGACCAGATGTCATATTGCCATTTACAAGCACCAATTACACCTGACATTATTGAGCCCGAATGGACGCCAATTCGCATATCAATATTTAGATTATTTCGTTGTGCACGCACTTCACGAATATCACGAATCATTCGTAATCCCAAGTCAACGCAACTCCTGGCATGTTGCGGATTTGGTTCGGGTACACCGCTCACACAATAATAGCAATCGCCCAAGAATTTGATGCGCAAAACATTGTACTCCTGTAAACACCGAACGTTATGCAATTAATCGACGTTGTAAATTCCATAAGTGCAAGTGTTTGGAATCATAAACGTGGACCAACAACAACGCAAACAACGTCAACAACAATGAATTAAAAATAAAAGAATTACCTCGGATGCCTGATCGAATTTAACGAATAGTTCGTGTAAAACTTCAACTAACGTTTTAACTGGTAGCTGGGTCGTGATGTATGTGTAATTCACAACGTCGGCATAAAGTACGCTGACGCTTTTATGGTGTTCAATATAAAGTTTGATTGGTTGTCCACGCCATTGACGTCTCGGAATCG